TTCTTTTACTCCACAACATTCCCTAAAATTAACTTAATAAACTTTACTTAAAGTTTTAAGTCAACTTCGCACTGTACATGCGCGCCCGCACGTGCTATTTTGTGGAAGAGCCACACTCAAGAGGCCAAAGAGCCGCATGTGGCTCGCGAACCGCGGTTTGCTGACTATTGACCACAGAACAGTATAGTAATGAAGACTCCCAAGAAATAGTCACTCTACAAAAATATGCAGCCTTCACTGGATAGAATGGTGACCCAAACATAAAAGACTTTGCTATAGGAGCTTAGAGGAGCTTAGAGTTAAATTGGGAAGAAAATAAATGAACAAAATAATTACACAATAAATAATTAAAATTTGTGCTATGAATGATCAAATTAAAGGACAAGTTTTATAAAGGAGAACTGGTTTAGTACAAGTATTAGTGGGTAGAGGCTGCTGGCAAGGAAGGCTTCCTTAGAAAACTAAGGACAAACCTGCGTTGTTAGAGAAATGAAGGGTCAACGAGAGCAATAGCACTTGTGGGGAAGGGCTGGCACATATGAAGGCCTTGGGCAGGAGGATGAATACTGCTTCTGAGGAACTCAAGGTTACGGTGGCCAGCCTGTGTGTGTGTTCCAACTCAGCAAGAAAAGATGAAACTAGGTTCAATATATTCTGCTCAAGAGAAAAGCCAAGTATGAAATTAGTTTTTAAAATGTTCCACTTCAAAAAATAAAATCAAAATTGTTAACTGCTGAAAATACTATCTGTAATTTTTGCATTGTCATTTTTTTTTCAAATATTTAAGCGTCTACTAAGCACCAGGCACTATATTAATTTCTGGGAATATAAATGTGAGATTACAGTCTGTGCCTTAGGGATTTCCATAGGTAAGGAGGAAACTTAAAAAATTAAGTTAAGTGTAACAAGGACTGTTGTGGAGGTGTGGTCAAAGGTTGGGGTGGGGCAGAGCGGGGGCGTGGGGGGACATCCAAAAGAAATGATTAGTTCATTCAGGGGTTGAGTTATCTAAAAAATGCATCTATGTTCATCACACCATTATCAAATAAACTAAATAAATGAACTGTGACTGAGTTTAAGCATGAGACAAATCAGAAAATCTAAATTTGGACAGATATCAAAGGCAATGGAATTGTCTAACGAACTTCCAAATACACAATCCTACCTCAAACACAATACTTAGAATTAGAGCACTCCCTGTAGGCTTGGGCAGCCATTCAAATAAATAGATTTGAACATAAATGAATTTTAGTTAATATATTTGATATTAAAAAAATAAAGGAAACACTGAATTAGACTTAATTATACACAGGTCAGGATCAGAGAGGAAGGTAGGGAAAACCAACATGAGTTTAATGTATTCTTTCATTGAGCTGAAACTAAAAGACTTACACTGAATATGTTCAGCATTAAAATTAGCCTTTTTATTCACTATAGCTTCTAAGATTCCAGTGTACAAAATCCAGACACCTGAACCTTCGATCAGCTCTGGCAATGACCAGCTGTCAAGATTGTCACGTGGTTTCTCTGAGTCAGTCTTAGTCTCCATATTAGGAAACAGGAGAACTTCACCAGTAGCTCCAGTGATTCTAAAGAGTCCTTCCAGAACAATCACACACCCTATGTTACGTTCACTGATTTCAGTCTGGCTAACTGTAACTGTAAAAACTCAGGAGAATACAAGGCCATTTCACTGATAATTTGCCAGGAAGGATAGATCAGGTTTTACAAATGATAAACGGTTGTGTATAATGCCTGATGTTATAAAGCACACGAAGGCCCAGTGAAGACCCGGAGACTGGGAACCCTTCTTGCAGGTGGGTAGAAACCTCATGAAATCCGTGCCCTTATCTTGGATAAAGAAATTAATAAAAAATCACCCAAATATGATGTCAGATATTGTATGATATAATGAAGATAAATGATATGCAATTATACTGTCTCAGTTGTAGGACATACCTCTTCCCATCTCAGTCATTTTTTACTAAAAGTATTTGATAAAATTGCTTAAAGTGAATGAGCCAAAGAGGAGTTTGATATTTTTTTTAAAAAACTGGAATATGATTTTGTTACTAGATCCAAAAAATGACACAGTAATTATATGCAGTGCTACATAATAACTCTAATTGTAATTGCAGTATAATTACTTTGACATGCATTCACTATCCATCTCCATCATAATTATTATGCATGGATTATGTCACCTGTTTTTCAAGTTCTCCACTATCTTCTGGAGGGGCAGACTTGTCAATTATGCAGATTCACTTTAAAACATAATGCCTACAATACTACCTCATCTCAGGAGCTCAACATATAAATATCAACAATAACAATACTAATATTTGTGCAAATAGATAATGTTCTGGAAAACCAACTCAATACTATTTCTTAGTTTATTTAATAAAAGTAAGAATGTCGGGAAAGGAATGCCTTTTTGTAACTTAAAATGGTTTACTCTACTCCTTTCTACGCCATCTCTTCTCTTAGCAGTGAGAAGGCCCACATAACACAGGATGCAGGAGGTTCCAACAAATGTGAATGAGAGTCCTTATGCAGTTTTTGTTTGTTTGTTTTTTAGAGAGACCGGAAGGAAGAGGGAGAGAAAGAGAAAAATCAATGTAAGAGTGAAAATCATTCAGCTGCCTCCTGCACGACCCCTACCCAGGATCAGGCCATAACCTGGGCATGTGCCCTGACCAGGAATTGAACTGGCAATCTTTTGGTGCACAGGACAAGGTCCAACCCTCTGAGCCACACTGGCCAGGCACCCCATGCAGTTTTTAATGGGAAAGAGGATCCACGCCACACACATTTGCTAGACCAACAGTCACAATCCTTTCAACCATATTGTGGCCAGCAACCGTGGTGCACAAGCACAGCTGTGGACCAGTTCGCCCCTTTTCCTATGTAGACCCCACTCCACTCCATAAAATGTCAGTTAATATTGTGATAACACCAAATACTACAACCTTTGACAAACTGTAAAAAAATTATAATGTATGGAAATACATAATTGTATAGAAAGATGAAAAATAGATGAATAATGGAAGTTCTGTGATGGTTAATTTTATGTGTCAACTTGGTTAGACTATGATGCCCAGTTGTTTGGTCAAACACTCTTTTAGATGTTGCTATAAAGGTGCTAGCTAGATGTGATTACCATTTATAATCAGTAGACTACAAGTAAAGAAAATTATCCTCTACAATGAGGGTGGGCCTCATCCAATCAGTTGAAAGCTTTAAGAACAAGGACTGAGGTTTTCTGAAAAAGGAATTCTCTTCAATGCTGAAACAGAAATTTTACCAGAGTTTCCAGCCTTCAGATTCAAGACAGCAATACTGACTCATCTGACTCTCCAAGCCTATGGCTTGCCCTACAGATTTCAGATTTGCCACCAGCTACAATGGCATAAGCCAATTCCTGAAAGTCCCTTCCTCAATATCTCTTTCTTATATTGACTCTCTGGAGAATCTTTTCTTTTCTTTTTTTAAGTCCTCACCTGAGGATATTTTTCCATTGATTTTTAGAGAGAGTGGGAGAGAAAGGAAGAGAAACATAGATGTGAGAGAAACACATCAATTGGTTGCCTCATGCATGAGCCCTGACCAGGGCCCAGGCCAGGGAGGAGCCTGCAACCGAGGTACCTGCCCTTGACCAGAATCAAACTTGGTACCTTTCGGTCCGCAGGCTGATGCTCTATCCACTGAGCCAAACCGGCTAGGGCTCTCTGCAGTGGTTCTCAACCTTCTAGCCCTTTAAATACAGTTCCTCATGTTGTGACCCAACCATAAAAGTATTTTCGTTGCTACTTCATAACTGTAATGTTGCTACTGTTATGAATCGTAATGTAAATATCTGATATGCAGGATGGTCTTAGGCGACCCCTGTGAAAGGGTCGTTCGACCGCCAAAGGGGTCGCGACCCACAGGTTGAGAACTGCTGCCCTAGAGAATCTTGACTAATATTTGTTTATTCAGAATATTAAATATATTATGTATTCTCTTTGAAAATCAAATATTTTTGGCTCTTTTTATGACATTATCAAGTTCTGTACCAACTCTTAGTTTTTGATTTTGGTTTGTTTTTTTGTTTGTTTGTTTTTTAACTTGAGAGACATTTATTTATTTTCCAACATCATGAGTCATGGATATTAGCAATTAAGTCTTTTATCTCCTCGGGAAAACACAGCATTCTTGAGTGACAGTTACAACATGTGGAGAACTTCAATCCTTAGTCACAGTGTTAAGAGCTCCTGGTTTTGGTTCCACAAGCTCTCTCTGAAATGACCTACCAACCCTTCATTTTTTTAAAGATCGGGATGAGCACTCTTTATTTAAAACTTCATGAAACCAGCTGAGAATAAAGTTGACATACTGAGCTTATGTACTTTCTATAAAACTAGATTTATATACTACATATTATGTACTTTCCATAGAGTCTATGTTCATCTACTTTTGATAGAACAAATAGTATGAAAACACACACACACACAAAGCTAGATGATCATAACTCCCAGTTAATGACACCTGGCTGTTCCTCGGTGGGTTGTCACACGTAACCAAGTGCATTCACCTTTTAGAAATGCA